GCGGGAGGTGGTGCGTCGCCATCGTAAGCACCACGCGGTGACTCGCAACAGTCGGTGCAGTGACGAGAATCGAAGGAGCGTGTCGGGCTTCGTGTCGATCCTTCCGACGGCGGCTTGCACGACGGCCTTCCGTTCCGGCATCTCCGCGTCGGGGATCTCGTCGCTCTCGGCGGGCCACTGGGTTCGGTCCTCCCGCAGCCACGGTGGACCCGTCCACCACAGCGGATGGCCGATCAGCTCGCTGGGCGCGATCCCCCGAGAAGCGCAGTCGGCCGGGTTCTCTCGTCCAGGAACGTGTCGCCACTGGGCTTCGGGGAGAGTTCGCTGGATCAGCGATACCCGGTTGGCCATAAACGTCTTCCACCGGGATGCGTGACCCCTGATCCAGTAAAGTGTCACCCGGGCGTCGGACCAAAGGTAGATCGGTGCTGTGGACAAGCGTAAAGTGTCGCGAGCGTGTCGCGTTAATTTAGTGAGCAGTGCGGCCGCGGACAGTTCGAGTCGAGCGAGGGACACCTGTCGAATCGGGGCTACCTTGCTCTTTGCCATGAGCAAGTGCAGTGTGGCGGAACCGTTCCTCGTGACGCGGAGGTAGACGGCCGCGGCGTAGCCTCGCTCGGACGCGTCGGCGAATCCGTGGATCTCGACTCTTGAATCCGCTCCGCTGTCGAGCCAGCGGGTCACGCGAACGAGTTCAAGCCGCGGAAGCTCCTCCAGGAAGCTCCCCCATTGTTGAGCGTCGGCCGACGGAAGAGGGGCGTCCCAGTCTAGCCCCTTCAGCCAGGTGGACTGGATGAGGATTTTCGCTCGGATCACGACGGGGGTGAGCCACCCTAATGGATCAAACAAGCGTGCGGTTTCCGAGAGGACGCGCCTCTTTGTGAACACGGTGATTGCGCGCGGACGAATCGCGAAGGAAAATTCGTCTTCCGTCGGGTGCCAGCGGAGGCCGAGAGTGGAGTGTCCGTCTGTCTCCCACACGTGGAGGGCGCGTTTAAGGCGGTGCTCCTGCGGGATGCCGACGAGAACGTCTTCGGAGTTCGCGGCCCACTTGCGCAACGGAAACCCGCCCGCCGTGCAGAGTTCGCGCAGTTGAACGGCAACCGCGTCGTCGATAGTGTCCGCACCGGTCACGACATCGTCCACGTATCTGTCGTCCTCGAGAGCGATCGCGCCACGCGGAAACCGAGCCCCCTCGTCTTTGGCGAGTTGCAGGAGCGTGCGAATCGCGACCCACGGTGAGCACGTGAGGCCATAGGTGACCGTTGTCAGGCGGAGAACGCGCACGAGTAGTTCGACGGCACTTCGCCACAGGATCCGCTGGTGGTCACGATCTTCCGGGTGGACGATGATCTGGCGATACATCTTCTCGATGTCTGTGATCATCACGTAGCGGTGCCGACGCCAACGCAAGAGCACGTCAGCAAGTGCCGGCAGGAGATTTGCGCCTGCGAAGAGGTGGTCGTTGAGCGAGTCTCCGGAGCTGGTGCGTTGCGAGCCATTAAACACTACGCGAAGTTTGGTGGTAGTGCTGGCTTCTTTCAACACGCCGTGGTGTGGGAGGTAGCACACGCCGCGAGTTGTGTTCTCGTCCGACGGTGCTACGGCTTCCAAGTGCCCGAGGTCCTCGTACTCCCGCATAAACGAGCGGTAAAGCTCTCCGAACCGGAAATCCCGGGCGCACTTGCGTTCCATGGCCGTGAGTAGTCGCTCAGCGGGCTTGCGGGTCTCGGCGAGGTGCTTCGGCGTCGAGGCGAACGGCAGTCGGACGACGTACCGGCCAGCGGGTGTGCGCTCGTGGGTGCGTACAAAGTGTTGCTCGCACTCCTCTTCCTCGGGAGTGAGCGTGACGGAGGCGGGAGGCTCGCTCTCTTGTTCCCAGAAACGGCGGACCAGCTCGGCCAAGTCATGGTCGGCGGTACACTGGAGTGAGCTGTGGTGACAGTGGAGGGTCGCACCACAGCCCCCTGAAAGAATCCATCCCAGGATGGTTTTCTGAGCGATCGGCGTTTGCGGTTCGCTTTGGCGGAGACCATCCTCCAGGATGGTCGAGCACACCTCGGCGCCCAGCAGCAGCTCGACTGGGTCGTTGGCGGCGAAGCGAGGGTCGGCCAGAGAAAGCCCTCGGAGGTGAGGCCACGAGATGCGGCACTTATTCGCGGCGCCCTGGTAGAGCGAGAGACGCGGAAGCACGAACGCGACGGCGGTGAGAGTGGCTCCGGTGGTCTTCGACTTGATGGTCAGGGACACCTTGCCTCGTGTGGATCCCGACTGGGAGCCGCCGATGCTGAAGATAGACACTCGCGTGCGCGATCGCGGCAGGCGTAGTCGCTGCACCAGGGACTCCGACACAATCGACACTTCGGAGCCTAGGTCGATGAGCACCCGAACCTCATGAGGATCTCCGTGCCGATCGGCGATAGTCACGCGCGCGGTCGCGAGAAGAATCGCCTTACTGTCGTCGGCCTTTCCGACGGCGGAAAGCGTGCTGACTTCCGCGGGGGGTGCCGTCGCGGAAACGTACGCGTCGTGCAACATCGAGTGGTGCCGCGCGTTGCATGTGAAGCAGTTCCGGGTTGACTTGCACTTCGCCACCTGATGATTGCCGAGACAGTTGAAGCAGAGCTTATTAGTCTCGACCACTGTCTTTCTTTCACTGGCCACCTTGAAGTCGGGGCACCCCATGAGCGAGTGCTTCCCCTTGCAGAGCGGACACTGAGAAGGCTCGGACCGCTTCGCGACGTGAGTTTTCGCGGACCGTGATTGTTCACTCGCGGGTTTAGTGGTCTTTGGATTCGCTGCGTTCAGCGTGAGGATCCGTTTGTTGATGAAGGTCATCAACGTAGCGTGAGGCGGCGGTTCGAAGGAGTCTCTCGAGGAGGACTCCCATTCCAGACGCGTTCGCGGGTCAAACAGTTCGA